CTTGCGGCGTTCGCGCTTGCGCCGGGTCGCGCTTGTGGCATTCGCGCTTACGACGGGTCGCGCTTGTGACAGTTCGCTCTTGTGCACGTCACCGGCGCGTCTCTAGTATGGGTTCTACTAAATGCACGTTTTCCGACTCGCCGAAAATGACAGTGATTGTTAACTGTGCCGTCGTTTGTCCTGAGCCATACTTTATACTGCGCGCCGTATAGTGGCCGCCCCCAGACTCCTCGTGGTGACGACGCTCCTCGCCCCGCCCCGCCCCCCTCGTCATTGTCTCTCCTTGTCACTCACCCGGCCGTCTTGCAGGCCGCCCACCGGACCCGGCCCGCTGCTCCCCGCGAGCCTAGCATTACACGAGTCATTGCTGTCGCGGCCCGCCTCAGTCCCTGTCACGCGTTAGCTGCAGTGTGACTGTCGTGTGACTATCCCCGTCACGCACTAGTACCACCACCACTACTACTACCATCGTCTCGGTTTGACCTCCAAGCCAAATAAATGGACTCGGGGCGCCTGCGGCAGGCTCCATTCTAGCAGCGCGAAAAAAAAACAACAACACAACACGAAAGAAGGCAGTTCATCGGCGGCACGGCCTTGCCGACACGCGCCGCGCAGCTGATCGGATGGGCACAGCTTCCTCGTCGCGGTCCTGGAGCCTCTCCAGGCCGTGCATTTCGAGACAGAAGCCTCCCTCTTTCTGTTCAGACCGTACTTCTCCAGGCCCTGACTCACACGACGTCCGCGCTCTTGAGCATCGAACAAGGAGCATGGCGTGGAGCTGGAGCTATCTGCCGCATCGTAGACAGGCGACTAGCTCTGGAGGCCGTGGAGCGAGCGAGGTGTCACCATGTCGCGCACATGACGTCTAGTCTGCGTAACGCTGTGTCGCGCACATTATGAAATGCGAAAGCGATTGTGTATAAAAGTACGTCCGCTTTTCTCAGATACATTCGCCATACTCACTGCTGGATCAGCTCGGCGCCTGCGAACTTGAGGGTAGGCCACCCTGCAGTGCACCGGTGCACTGCAGGCTATATGTTGCCTACCGGTCAGGCGCTATGAGAGCTTCTTTTGACCGAACTGGGCAGTTCCGTAACGGCAAACTGCGGCTGTTCTTTCTAGGTCCGTTCCGTCTAACGCCGCGTCGCGCACCTGAAGGGCGTAACGCTGTACCACTCTGTATGGGCCGCGCTCGTTGTGGACGGCGGCCCCCTCCAGGAGGCCCGGCGGCCTGCATACTCGCGCGAGGCCGCTCCCCGATACCCATACTCAGACGCGCGCCTTATCCGCTCCGCGCCCCGCCGTCGTCGGGCTCTTCACTGTCTCTGACTGTCGCAGTAGTGTTCCGTCACACTCTGCGCTCGCGACACAAATCCGCGAGGCGAGGCACGTGCTTTCAAACTCGACCGCGTTTTGTTGTTCGGTCATACCACGTGCTGTACGAAAGTGTGTAGGACCGGAGTGTAGCGCGGTGGCGGCGGCGCAGCGCCCATCACCTGTCGGCGGGGGCGGCCGGGGGCGGCGACAATGAGGTTGCGAGGTGTAATATTGATCCCGCCGTGCATAACTGATGAGCGGGGGTGGCCCGCGCGGGCTGGGGCGGGGGCGGACCTAGAACGACCTGGGCGTATGTATACTACGTACTCTGGACGTAAATATTTAATGGGAATGGTGCTGCTGCGGCCGGGCACAGCATTTGTGTGTGCAGCACGGGGGGAGGCTCTCAAACTCCCCCCGCACAAGAAGCAAAAAACTGGAATGTTTTGTCCTCGCGAGCAGAAATGTTTGGAACAGAAACTCTCCGTCACAATTTTTGGAAAGAAACTCTCACAGTGTGTTCTCTGTTATTTGCCCTTTGCCGCCAGTTTGGCGAGGAAGGACAATCTGTTTGCGCTTGGACGTGGGGGAAGCTTAGCTCGTCCGGCCGCCGAGGGGTTGGTTCCGGTGACGCCGCCGCCACTTCCGGTCCGTCGGCGGGTCTCGTCCGGTGCGCCCCTCCCCCTCCGCACCCGCCCTTACAATGGCGATGGCATACATGGCCCGGGCGCGTGTTTCTGGGTCATCGGCTTGTGTCACGCACACCGCGGGGTACGTAGTGCCTTGTCTCCTCAGCCCTCCCACAGGGTGTCCGGTCTCCCCGCCCTCCTGCAGGGTGTCCTGCCTCCCCCGCCCTCCCGCAGGGTGTCCTGCCTCCCCCGCCCTCCCGCAGGGTGTGCGGTCTCCTCGCCCTCCCACAGCGTGTCCTGCCCCCTGTCCCTCCCGCAGGGTGTCCTGCCATCCCCGCTCTCCCCCAGGGTGTCTTGTCTTGTCCCCCTGCCCTCCCACAGCTTGTCCTTTTGACCCCGACCCTACCTACCTTCTTGTTTTGTATTAGTCGGTAAATATATTTTATTTCTAAAGTCCTCACAGTATCCTGTCTCCCTCGCCCTCCAGCAAAGTGTGCCTTTAGCCTTGCATGGTGGGTCGCGCCGGCGCACAGGTGCTTCCCCCTGCGCCACTGCCGGCGCCGGCCGCGACCCGAAGGCCATAGACTCGCGACTGCGTGCCGTTGGGCCGGCGGCGGTCCTCTATTAGAGGATTACGGATTGAATTGAAACCCCTTTGGATTGGGATTCCCACCGCATGTTTCCCCCCCTTCCCTTCTCCATCACCTCTCTTGGGTCAGGATAGAGGATCCCAGTGCGCACATCCTTTGCTGCCCCTCGTCCACGTGACTTCCTGGGCGTGGTGTGTGTCGCGGCCACCGGCAGCAGGTCGGCGCGGCGGCGATGCGATCGGGGGCCGAACGTGCCAAACGTCCACCCACGCCCCGCCCCGCTCCGCCCCGGCGCTGGCCGCGCTGAAGTGTCACGGAGCGTATTAGCCGCGCTGCTCCCGGCCGAGCGGCGCAGCTACATAGATGGATGGCTGCCGAGGCGGCCGGTCGGCCCAAAGCTGCGGTGACCGCATGCGCCCGTGTCTGTGTGTCTGTTCGTCTGTCTGTCTGTGTATCTGTCTGTGGTGCGGGTGGGAAGCGCTAGTGGATTAGTAGTTTGTACTTTTCGTGGGAAAAATGTGAGGAGGGAGTTGTTGTTTCGGTCGACTCGTGACATGCCTCCGCCAGGATGACGCACACGCAACCGACATATGTATTGGGGGAGAAAGGGCTAAGCCCAGCAGCCGGACTTGGCCGCAAATGGCGTCATTTTTCGCTTGCAGTTTTATCTAGGATCGAAATATCTTACTGGGCCAGGCAAGTATCCTCCTGTCTGGCGTTGCCTAGCGCGTTCGCACGTCGATCGCCAGACGCGCTGGTTTTCCCCTGCCGTCTCTAGTGAAGTGAGCCGCCTGACAGATATAGGCAATTTGTGGCACAAAAGCTACTGTGCACCGCCGTACCCTCCTTCGGCCGAACCCTGCAGGCAGCGCGTTGTAGAGGAATCCGGAAGTACACGCGTGGTGCCGATCACAGCGCGCGGTGCGTAGGAACGAGCGCGCGGGCGTCGGCAGAGCCTGAAGCGCGCGCGCGAATCAACTTACACTTCCGGTCAAAAATATATCGAAATTCGACGACATTTTGGCGGGCGTCGCATGCGGAGGCTACACGTCACACGAGTGTTTAGCGAGTCGGTTGAGTAAGTAGTGTGAGTGCTGTACAGTCGCGCCGCGCGGCGGGAGTGGGGACGGGGCAGCCTGACGGCAGCTCGCTCGGACCCGTCCCGCCGCGCGCCGCCGCGGAGCTCGGCAGCGGAGCAGCTCAGTCCCGCGCGCCGCCAGGTCCGAAGCGCCGCGCGAGCCAACGCCGTGCCGCGACCTCCCCGTCGGCGCCGACTGTGTGTTTGAGTGTGTGTGACTGTGTGTGACTGTGTGTGAGCGTGTGTCGTGGTGCTGGTGCTGTGCCATGTGCTGCTGACGCCATGGGGCTCGGGCCGGAGTGTGTGTGACTGTGTGTGACTGTGTGTGAGCGTGTGTCGTGGTGCTGGTGCTGTGCCATGTGCTGCTGACGCCATGGGGCTCGGGCCGGACCCGCTCGACTCTCCCCTCGCGGCGCCCTCGCCGCCCCCGGGGGGGTCCGGGCCGCCGCAGGCCCACGCCCCCTCGGGGCCGACGCCGCCGCCGCGCCACATCCCGCACTCCACCCTGGACCGCATCCGCGGCATCCTCGTGTCGTCGCTGCCGCGGGAGAACCTGGGCACGCACGACGACGGCCTGCACGTTGACGACGACGACGATGATGACGACTACCTGCTGGGCCCGCCGCCCGTGGCTCCCGCCAGGAGGGTCACCTTCCGAGACACCATAGGTGTGTGAGCGGGCGGCCGTCCGTGTTAACCTTCCGGCTCAGGGAACTCGGCGGGGTCCGAGCGTCTCAGCGCCGAGACCATTACATTCCCTGTAAACAATCTGTAGCCACGTAAATGTTTCGATTGTTTTCGGCACAGGGTATTATTATCTTGTACATACCCTCCTCTGTCGACATGTGACACGGCGCGGCATTCCTTTTCCTTATCTTTCTTTCTTCTTTTTATTTTATTTTTTTTGACTTTTGGCGCGCGGTGGATGAGTGAGAGGGACGCGCGACAGGGACGACACCTGTTGCATATACATGCGCAGAAACACTGTCGTCCTGGCTGGGCGCTGTGCGGCTGTGCGTCACCTGACCGCCCGCCCACCGACAGCGCCACGCCCTGCCCCGCCCCACCCCACCACGCCCCACCACGCCCCGCCAAGACCGGCCACTCTACTATTCATATGCACGCATCACATTATATATAGGGAATGCATGGGAACGCAATGTAGTGGTAGTGTCCGTGTCCGGTCCGACCGCTGCTGTTGCGTCTCTGAATTATTGCGTTGTGTGCGAGTGTGAGTGTGTAGGAGATGGGGAATGGGCCGGTAATTTTCGGAAGAACCAGTAGGGCCTTCCCTTGAGCGAGCGAGTGCTTTATGCAATGCTAGGTACCCGTGGGAGGCCTCCCGGTACCGTCTGGACTCCGCGTCTCGCAGCTAGTTAGTTGCCGCGTCGAGTTGTCTGCCTACCTCGGCCTTTTCATCTCCGGTTTCACGAAATGGGAACTATGTGGAACTACAGTTGCAATCAGCGTCCCGTAGCTTATTCCTCTATTAGCCTTTTAACGTTATTTTAAGAGTTAGAGTTAAAACTTGCAACTCGTACTGTCGTCTTTTGGAACTAAGTTAGTCATGGTCATTCGACTTGTCCAATTTTCCTCCACAGTAACCATGATAAATATCGTCCATATTCCAAAATTCGTAACTTAAACATGTATTTTGTTGTTAAGTTTTCGTTTCGTGATATGATGAGTCACAGAGGCCCCGGCTGCAATGTTGTTTTGGGGCGGCCGGGCCGTGGCCAGTGGGAGTGGTCAGTCTGCAGCGCGCCTTCCGCCTTGTGCCGGCAGTCCATGTAACTACTGCTCTACCTTGCCTTGCTGCCATAGATGACGACTTCATTGAAATGTCATTTAAATACATTATCTCGCGTAATACAAGAGGCAGGTGAATTGGATGATCTTGGAGCGATCTGCTCGAGCATGACACACTTGGCGTGGGCGACAGCCGGGCCGCCGGGCCAGTCGAGAGCACTGATTCCTGGATGGTGGGGACTCCATGGCTCAGTGAATCATTAGTTCTTTTGTCTCTTTGGTCAGATTGAGTTGACTTAAACTTTTATATTATACCACTAAAGTTACTTTCTGTTTCTAATACTTGCCAATGTTTTACTCCTGGCCTATCCCAGCAACATTTGGTTGCAATAGACGCCACTACACAAGACAGGCCACACCCTGTCGTGAGCGGCGCACACTTCTTGCCCTTCCTCCTTCCTCCCCTTCCTCCTCCCGCTGTCCTCGCTCTTTTTTCCTTTCCTTCCGCTTGTTCCCCCTCGATTACTGTTACGTACCATCATCGCTTCGCATATCGCATACGCCCCGTGTCCTCATCTTGTGCCGGTGTGCTGTGCGTGTGCGTTTGAATGGTTCTCTCTATGGGTGCCGGACCGGGCGGTGTCACGAAGGTCTCCCGTGTCGCCGGGGCGTCCTTGGCGAGGGGGGAGGAGGAGGAGGTGTGGCGCGCCGCGAGTTGACTAACCTGTTCCCGCAGCTGTGCTATGCGAGGTGCTATGGCACGTCGGCACGCCCCGTCGAGCCGTGCACCGTGCATCCGTCTCGTCTGCGCATCCTTCCACTTCTTTTTCTCGTTTTTTCCTTTTACATTTTTTTGGTGTTCATACACCCCCCCCCCCGCTTCTCATTGGAATAAATAAAAAAATCAGCTAATTTTTTGAACTAAAATAGTGAGCTGTGAGCAGAGGCCATCGAGGGGCAATGTACATGGTAATTGCGATGTCTACTTGTTCAATAAGCAAAATAGTGGCTCTGAGGGTGTCGCGGGGACCGGGCAGTGTTTTGGATCGGCCCGGGTTTGCATGCAAACTCGACAGGCTCCGATAGCGAACCCGAGCCGACCCGGCTGCAGTGCGTGAGGGACAGAGGGCATAGTCTCACTCGAGTGCGAGAGAGACAGAAGGCGCAGTCTTACTCGCACGCTGACTCGTCGGGGTCGGTGCGACCCGAGGGGTACACCACTCTTAAAAGTAGGTGTACGCGCCTAAAAAAGTCAAGAAAAAAGTCAAGATAAAGTCAAAAAGTCATTTGAAAAGTCAAAAAAAGTCAAAAAGTCAAATAAAAAGTCAAAAAAGTCAAATAAAGTCAAAAAAAGTCAATGAAAGTCGACGAGAAGTCGACGAGAAGTCAGAGAAAAGGCACTGAAAAAGTTAACAGAAAGTCAACATGCGAGTGCAATATCTGCCTGTAAGGGGCCAAAAAGCTACGGAACTGTGACTGTATCGGAAAGTCCTAGATCACTGTCTTTTAAAGAGGGAGGGGGGTGGGTGGTGGGTGAAGTGAGAAAAATAAAATTATCGGATTTCATGGGATTTCTTCACCAAAAAACGTAAATACTGAAAATACCTTGTTTTTCTTACTTAGGGGGTGTACTCTGATGACGAATTTTCTTCTTATTCGATTCATGCTATAAATAGAACCGAAAAGTCTTGGATATTACTAGCCCCAAAATTACAACTCTCCCTTATTTAAAGAAAATAGCAGGGAAAAAATCATAAAAGTCAAATAAATTTGATCAAAAAGTCAAAAAAAAGTCAAATAAAAGTACAAAAAAAGTCAAAAAAAGTCAAAAAGTCACGGCCCCAAAAAATCGACTAAAAGTAGGTGTACGCCCAGAATCGGAGTGATGTACCCCTCGGTGCGACCTGAACCAACCTTCCTGATCCGCGACACTGGGAGAGGCCGAGTGGCTTGGTCGGCGATGGGTCTTTGCTCGCGTGGTTTTGCAGGGACGGTATCACTCGAGCCTCGTCAGCCGTGTGGTTATCGTTAGGGTCGTTGCGGGGCGAGGCGGGCGTCTTGTCAGCTGACGGGTTGTTGACGGTGGCCCCGCCCCGCTCCGCCCCGCCGCGGACGTGTACGCCACGAGCGTACATGCACTTAGTGCGTCGCCGTGATGGCTGCTTTGCCCCCCGTCCCTCCCCTCTCGGCGGTGCAGCAGTCCGCTCGCTCACTGCCTGAGCCTGATCCGAAGCAGCAATTTGTCCCAAGTACGTTAAATAAACGCTCTGTGCAGGCTCGTATGAAGGGCAAACCGTATGAATCATCAATCTTCAACTTGAGCTGACATGCAGCTCTGTAAAATGTCTGCGTAGAGATTGCCATTTTTGACAGCTCACCAGCTCAATTGTCCGTGCCTCATTAACGACCAAATTATTGCTTATGGTGAAAAGTTACAACAAGCGTCATAAACTACTGTAATTGCAGAAGAGGAACAGGCAATAAGGAGTGGTCCTAGATCTCTTAAGATATAACTCGAACGAGATTCGAAATTGTTCCAGCGTCACGCCCCGAACCTACACCAATCCAAGAAGCAGAATCTACTTTCATAATCACACTTGTGGAATATTCTACGGAAGATTGTTTATCCTCGACGTTCTTGTCACACGGGCCGCGCGCGCCGGTGGGTGCATCTGCTCTACTGTTTGGGTGCCCCGCGCGGCGCGCTGCCGTGACGCGACGCCGCGGTGGCCTTGCCGGGAGGCGACCGCGGCGCAGACACAACTTATCGCCTTTGCCTTTTTCGCGTGCCGCCTCGGGGCCCTCCTCGCCTCTTCCTCCGACCGACTGGTGGCCGCCGCACTGCTCGCCCTGCCACGTTTTGGTTTCTTTCTTTCTGATCGTGCGCCGTCTGTGATGCCCCCCCCCCCTTCCCCCTCTCCCGGGCGCGTGTGAGGCTGGCGCCCCTCGCATTGATGGGCCTTCTCTGCCTCCTTTCACCCAAAGGCAGGGGCATTCCGCACGCGCGGACCTCTGTGTGTGTGTGTCTGTGTGTATATGTATATATGTGTGTGTCTGTGTTTTTGTTCGGGCGTGCGTGTGATAATTGTGTGCGTGTGTGTGCATTGCTCAGTGAAAGCTCACACCAAGCTGTTGCTGCCCTCCCTCACCCTCCTCCCTCCACCCCCCTCCTGATGCTTCGGGGCCCCGGCGGCCGGGCAGCGGTCGCGAAAGAAGTAATAAAAATTAAAGCTGAATTAAAAGTCTGATGGAGAGAGGGAGCTCTGGGCGCTGGACGAGGCCCCCAGCCTGCCGCTCGCCACTAGGCCGTGCAGCCGAGGTATCCGCCGATCCCCTTTTGCATTCCCGTTTTGTTTTCCCTGTGGTCATGTATTTTTGTATGTGTAGTAGCCGTTTTCTTGTTGGACTAGAGCAGTGATCAGGCTGTGTGGGCGGGCGGCCGGGTTGTTTGAGGACACGCCGGTGCCGCTGTGCTGTCCGTTGGAACGGGCCGGAACGTGCATTCGGCCAAGGTTACTGCCGATGCGATGGCGCCGCCGACCGGGTCACTGAGAAGAGGGAAAGGGGAGGGGGGGGGGGGCTCAATCGTGATCTGCATTGCACGTCCTATCCTATTCTACCCGCATTTGCCAGCGATAAAATGGTCGATTTCTGCTCACAGTTCGTAGAGACCTGGCCAACTTAGGCGTTGTTGTGAGGGCACGTAGGAGGGGCCACCATCGTCAGGGACGTTCCTGTGCGGCCACGCCCGGCCACCCCCGCCGCGCCCCGCCCTAGAGCCCCGCGGGCATCACTGCGCTGCACGCTACCGTTCGCGCCGGCCCGGCCTGTAGACACGCCTGCCGCGCAGGGCTGCTGTGCGGGCCGGCCTGTAGCGCCTGGCAGGTGGGCTCGCCCGCCGTGCAGGGCTGCTGTGCGGGCCGGCCTGTAGCGCCTGGCAGGTGGGCTCGCCCGCCG